ATCGTACGGGGTAAGTTTTCTTTCTGTGATAATTTTGATTTAGGATACCTTATTTTATTTTAGTTGGAGATTTTTGAATTCGATTTGGTATAGTTTAAAATAAAAAATATGAAGATATACTGAGATTTTCAAGAAAAATTAGGAACAGTTTACTTAAACCATGTTGTCTTTTTGTATGAAAGAATTTTCGCATTTCAGCAAATACACGGAAGAACGCTTTACGAAGGATCTCCAAGTGCCATATTACGTTAAAACTGATTTCTTAACAAATTATCGGAGTAAGATAACTCAAATTGAGCATCAAGTCGAAGACGAGTATGTTTCTCATCTGCGCATGAAATGCTACAGAGAAAGAAATGAAAGTGAGTTTAGCATTATTTTCAGATACAATAGATAGGGTTTTCAAAGAAGTCGCATGCACATCGTTGCTAAATATTTGCAGTGCCTGTTACGTCAATATTCCTTTTGTTGATTTCACATTTTGGGTTATCTGTTGCTTAAGGAGAGACTGCGTTGTGGAGAGCACGTACCTTCGGTGATGCCGATCTGTGGAATCGAGCCCAACGTATGGGGACACCAAGTTGTGATAGGCTGCAGGAAATATATAGTTAAATAATGGTTCTTCAAGCACTACGGAAATGTCGTTGTTACACATTGTTATGAATAAATTGATCAGCGTAAGTCTACTCGCAGTTATTAATAAAGAAGGATATCGGGAATTCTGAAAAGTTCATCTGATTCAATGCGTTATATAGGATGAGGCCCAAAAGAGTACGCTGGGTCCCAATTGACCTAAAACTGAATTTTTGCTGCATTCCACGTAAAGCACTCAGAAACAAGAAATCTATGGTATTTGTTTTCGAGTAATTTCTTAATTCATCTTCCATCCTGAAAATTGGGTGTTTGTCTTGTGGTCGTTGAATTCCTCACTTTCAGTAATATCCCTTTTAATCATCAAAAAGCAGGTCATTTTGTTTGTTTTATTCATTAGTGACGTTGTTTTCCGATCATGTGTATTTTGAAATTCTTTCATATTTCTGATTCGGGCATGAATCTTCCTGTTCCAAAGAAAGGAAGGGCGAGAGCAAAAAGGACTGCGGTGTATAGGCGCTTTTTCAGTTCTTAATCATATTTCCGAATGTGTGAAATTGTAACTCAAACTTTTCGAAAAATTATTGTTCACCTCATTCATTTTTCTGTTCTCTTCCTTCACCTGAATAATTTCTTCATCTTTTTCTGTCATTATTCTGGTGCAGCTTTTTATAGCACGAGCTTTTTCTTTAATTTTAGAACATTTGTTTACTTCACCCTTCAATTTTCCTAGTCATATTTATAAATTGAACTCAAGTATATACTCTGACCAAATGAAGCATTTCTTTAAAGTAACTTTGCTTACCAAAGAAGTAAAGGAAATAAGTTTGAAATTTTGATCTAAAAGGAAACCAAGTCCAGAGCTTATTTTTGATCGAGGGAAGGAAAAAAATAACGATGACAATTACCTGTGCTTCAATTTGAAGTTTGGTTGTGAATTGAACGGGAATACTTGATTTCTTGTCTTTTCATTTTCGATCCAGCTATGAATTTGAAACTATAAACTAGAATGTAAACCTCAAAATGACGCACACTTCCTACTGAAATGTTCCTGTATCAATTCATTTGAACTGGTGAAAAAACTTTCAACCGTTGAACTTAATATATCTGTGATATGCTATTTTGTTTCAATTTATTACTAGGAATCACTCGTAGCTGCTTCGAATAAAACTTGTTTATCATTGGAGTACCACATGTTCGCAAATTCATTAGTAGTTCTATTCAACAACTGCGGCACCAGGATGTGGGGAACCAAGGGGCATGCATGGGAGTGGTTGACAGGAGAGAGTGTTAAAATATATGATCCGACGGACGTCTATTAATAGCTATGTTGGAACGATGCAGTAATAGTTTAGGTACTGATACTTTGCTTTGTGCTTTGTGCTAAATGTTTTGCCATTTAACGGTAGTTTTTTTTTTT